GCCTTGAAGTTTCGACAATTCACTTAACTATTCTAACCATTATAAACGCTCACTTATTTTCCCTGAACTTATCTACGCTTACCTGAAGTTCTCTTAATTTGTCTAATAATCCGTAAAATTTTCTAATACATATATATTCAAAACTCTGACAATTTTGGATCAATCATAGAGTTCTTGGAATACCCCATAACTCCACGGAATTCCTTGTAAGTCGCTGCAAATTTGCTTAGGTTAATGGGATTATTCTGAAGCTATCTGATCGTCCTCGAAGTACTCGGAACCAGTGGCGTCGCGTAACCTCACTTTTTACCTGTTCAACAACTTTGAAAACGTTATTTAGGGCGAGATTTAGGGTCATGTTTACATTCAATTCAGTTTCAAAAGGCATGGGGTCTTCTAGTTTCACTGATTTGTATCCATTGGAACAAATATTGTTTTGTTTGTTTACGTTTTGGGAGTTGTTGAACAGGTAGATTGAGGTTAGGGCGAAGCCCTAGGGGGACGAAATTATACCATTCTACATTTCATTTAACAGATTTAACTAAAATTTGCAAAATAATTCAGATTTTTTGGATAAACTTGATTAATAATGAGTAATAACACGCGCCTGCCGATATCTTCCGATTTCATTCACTATTCTTCGATAATCATGGATGAGTTATCTATCTGTTTACTGTAATATGTTTTAGTGTGTTTATGTTTACTGTCACTTTCATGATCGCGCGGTTTTCGCATTCGGTAAATCTCGAAAAAAAAAATCGCATATCAAGCGGCACATTCTTCTAGGCCACTAAACTCTTCCCCGAAGTAACAACAAAAACCATCCTTACCTGCCAATCTTCCGTTCAGCAAAACAGTTCCGTTTAGTTGATGCAATCTTGGACCCCAAGCAGTGGCAGACGATTTGATACTGGAAATATGACCAGAAAAAGATCCAGCAGATGCGCTTATCTAAATTGAATTCCAACATCTGAAAGAACTCATCGAGGACAGGACTAGCATCCACCCCAAGGTCAAGTTAGCCAATCTGCACTTCAAAGAGTACCCGGCTTAATACTCATCCCCTCCGTCCTCTGTCTCTGCTCCATGACTACCGTCCCATTCTCTGACCCATAGATTCCGATCGCGCTAATCTACCTAAATATCAGTGACAACGCCTCGCAAATCCCCTAACCACTCCCCGGTTCGCAACCTATCAGCAGCAGCAGAAGAAGCTTAACTCCGGCACTCCGCCTATACCGCTCCCAAACAACAACATCTCTCTCAAAGTCGAGACAACCCCTCACCTAGTACTCCCGAGATCCAGCCGTCAACCAAAACTCGTTTGGTCTTACCGAGGGTCTTACAACCATCTCAGCCTCCCTCCTCATGTTTATTAGCCATGCAAGTATCCAAGCAAACCTGGTGCTGCTCGGTCAGACGTCGGTTTCGCCTATTTGGACAGAACCCGTTATCCAGGTTGCGATTCGTGAACTCGAAGCACCCACATTCCTCATCGAACTCTGACGAAATCCACCTCAACATCTCGACACTGAGCGTCCATAAGGGCCAATATTGTAAACGTAAACAATGGCTTCTCTGTTAAAATTCCCTAATTCAAAATCTAACCATGCAATCCACTAACTCTATCGGCTCTTCATCTACACAATCATTGTGATATTTTACTTGAGCGAGTTTTCATCTTTGAGAAATTCGCGGAAGAAGTCATTGTTTACGTTTGCGACATTGGCCCTTATGAAACAGCAGCAGAGAGTTGTTATTTGTAATCTAAGAGAAAGAGGAGACAACTGGCTTCTTACTCATTTATCTCTATCTATCTCTATCTCTATCTTACGCACTACAAATCAGCCAATAACGAGCTGGTTCGCGTTTGACAGAAAAGTGGTTTGTTTTCGCCACCGTATTGGCGTTGACGGCACCATCGAAAACTTTGCTCTTCCAGCAAATTTAGACAGTTTCTTATGGGAATTTTCGGTGGAGTGAAAGGGTAGTACAAAGTCCGCCATGTTTCACGCACAGTCTGACGTTTGCTTATGGATTTTCTCATAAGAGTAAAGAGCTACAGAGTCGCCGTCAACGCCAATTGTTTCCTCTTCTCTTACACGCTAACTTGAAAGTACCCATTAATGGTTGAAAAAGACCCATTTTGAAGAAAAGTGGCTTAACTCATTAAATGAGTAAATTTTTTACCCATTAATGAGTATCTGTTACCCATTAATGAGTAATTGTTAATCATTAATGGGTAACAGATACTCATTAATGGGTAAAATTGTTTAATCATTAATGAGTTAAGCCACTTTTCTTCAAAATGGGTCTTTTTTTACTCATTAATGAGTACTTTCAAGTTAGCGTGTAGGTTGTAATGATAAATAATCTGTCATGTGTGATAGATAGAGATGTGACCCGATATATTAGAGATGTGATCGATAAAAAGCCGATATTATTGATTTTAAAGATTTGAACCCGATTATTTCGGATAAAATAAATTTGCATGGATTCAAATCAATTCATCAAACTAAAAGTTATTTTTGGATAAAATTTGAATAAATCTGGGACTTTCGTCTCCCTCGGCGACGCCACTGCTCGGAACTTCGCTGAATATCATGAAACTATCTAAATTCTAAGTTCGCTGGAATTTCTTGAAGATATTTATCGCAGCTTGCTAAAAGTTCTCGCATTTTAATTAATTAATGGAACTTCGTTGATATTCTCTAATCAACTTAGCTAAATTTTCGGATTTTTTAAAGTTCTTGAAATCTCCATGATATGACACTCACGTTTTCCGGATGTTCATATAATTTTTATCACGTTCCAGAAATTCTATCGGAGCTTTCCTGAAGTTGCCGGAACTTTTTTAAGGTTTCTAAAATTTCCTTGAAATTATTTGAACTGCCCTTTGATTCTCTGATCTGTTTTGATGTTCTTGAAGCTTCCCTAAAGAAGATTAATTTCACTGAAATTCTTTGGACTTCTGTGAAGTTCTTGAAATATTTCTGAGGTTTTCATAAATTCTTTGATGGTCCCTGTACTTCCCTGAAATTCTAGGAACATCTTATGGGTTTTAATTTTTCTAAATTTACGATTATAGATATTTGAACTGCTCCAAAAAGTATGAACTTAAGTCATGGCAACTAACAAATATTTTTAGATCTCGCTTTTCTTAGGTACTTGGAACTTCTTAAAATTTGCACAATACCCCTCAAGGTTTCTTTTTTTTTTCGTTTGGTTTGTTTTTTCCGTCGATCTTGTTTTCCGTGCTGAGCACCAATGCTACCGACGTGCCAGGAAGGCAGCTCCCACACCTGGACCCTACCTATCGACCCATCAACTCATGAACCGGGGACCAACGGCTTTACTTCCCATCCGAAGGAAGGCGTGATCAGAGATGTTATACCTCAGAACATCCCGGCGGCGCCGACTGGGATTGAACCCAGGCCTGCTGGGGTGAGAGGTAATCACGCTTACCACTACACCACCGGCGCCGTTCCCTCAAGGTTTCTATATTTCTCAAGTTCGCTTAACACCTGTGATGTGCTCTGAAATTCTAGGAACTTCATAAAAGCTCCTGAAAATTTTCGAATGTTAAAAGAACCGATCTGAGGAGCCCGGAGTTTGTTTATGGAGCTTCACTGAAATTCTCAGCATTTCCGTTCATTCCTCAGAACTTCTTCAAAGTTACTACAATTGTTGTGAAGTTAATAGGACTACAATGAAAATCTCTAATCTTTCATTAAGTTAATAACGAACTTGAAATAAATCATTTAATGTTTTCGTTAATTCAGCTACTTTGACAATTTTCAATATCTTGAACTTGTACATGGAATACGAAACTTCATCTTGAACTAACTCAAATTAAGTACGTTTTTTAACTTTATTAAAGAGAGGAATTAAGTAAGTACTAAACTTCAACATTCAATGGATTTGATTATAAAGTTGTTTCTTTAAAACGGATTACCATGTTTCAAAAACGTTTGGGTTAATTACTGTTGTTTTTGATCTTCCAGAAAAAAGCATATTTTGAACGCATTTTAAAAAGCAAAAAACCGGGAAAACTCAGGAAATTTTATTTAGAAAAATGATTAGACACCCTGTAGATAGAGAAAAACGATTAAACGTCACAAAGCAAAGAATGATCAATCTTGAAATAAATTTCTTGCTAAAAAAAAGTTGAAAATAGTGACTGATTACAAGAAAAAGTGACTTTAGTGACTTGACCTTAAAAAAGGAGGCTTTTTAGTGACTGGCTTGAAAAAGTGACCAAGTCACTAAAAAGTGACTCGCTGATTTTATGAGACTTCGGAGGAAAACTTTCGAACCGTATCAAGAGCTTTTTAGTTTCTTTACTTCCTATAAAACCCATCAAACACTACCATTTTGTTTGAGACTTTACTAGAACGCTCTACGTGAATCTGACATGATTGGTTATGAACTGAAAATTATCAAGAAAGCATTGGTTCGAAACTGGAAAAAGAAATAACTAATGGCGTCGTGTTACCAAAATTAGGAGTGCACTATATTCTCGCATGTTTTTCAGCATTAACGAATTTTCATTTATTGAGATCCAGATTTAAAATAAATCAATAACATATTAACAAAAGTTTCCAAAAGTTGTTGTAGGGGAAAAAATCGATAGCCGGTTTTAATATTAATTAGCCTCACACTGCAAAGAAGAGTACCTAACTTTTTTTCTAAGACCAAATAACAGGATAAATAAAAAATCATTGATCACCTATTTGTTTTGATGTTACATATTTTCAAAAATTTCCTTTAGGAGAAAAGTTCGCGGCAATAGCAACATGTTCGCTCGATATTGTATAATGAAAACAATTTCAGCCTTGAGCTTTGTTTTGACGGAGGACATAACATATTTTTGCTTTTCTTATAATATGGGAGGGTGTCTGGTGAAAAATGCGCTCACCAACACTGTCCTGTTGGGACAAAAAAAAAACCACAGGGAAAACCACCTCGGACCACCACTAACTACTGGCCTCAGCACTCACCTCTTGTCGTCGTCGTCGTCCTTGTGACCATCTAGGCCCATCATCTTCTTCAACAGATCCATCTTTACGACGCAAATTTTGACCGGATTTATGGAACACTGGGTACGAGAAAATTCCTTTCAGCAGAACCTTTTTCTGCTACGACGACGGCGCGCTGTTGTAATCACTGTCTTTTTTCTTCTATCAAGGATCCTGCTGCGAAGATCGAGAGCCGAGCCTTTTGCACTTTTCTGATGGGTTTCCTTTCCGGATGGTTTTTGCACTTTTTCTGGTTTATACCTATCAAACGTTACCGACTACACTTTAACCGTACAATATGTCACAATTTGGACACAGTTTCGCACTTTTACGGGTTGGATTTGGGTGGAAATTGAGCCGAAAATTCGCAACGCACAAAGGGATTTTCTAGAAGCGACCAAAGTTATCAGACGATACTGGACTGGCTGTGAGAAAAGCTGAAAGTTGTCAAAAACATTCGAACGTTCTTGCGCACTGGTGGGGGAGCTTTTGGCAAAAGTCACGTACACGGGAAAGCTCTTCGCTCCTGCAGGGTGGTAGCAGATCTGTGGTTACCATTTTGTTTGTTTTGATATTGACGCGATGGGCCGATCGTTTGTTTTTGGTAAAAAGAAAAACTGAATATCGAAACCGAGATCGAAACACTTTTCTAATAGCGAATTCCATTTATTATTCAGTTCCATCCTGGATCGGGTGTCAAGATTGGGTCTGCTTGTGTTTTGACAAACACCTTCTCAAAAATCAAACGGTCGATAAGGCTGTCCACGGGACAGTTGCGATTAACTGAATTTTTTGTTTACCAAGAATTTTTGACCGATCTTAGTAGAACTGGCAGTTTATTCTCATATCACGCAGAAAAATTTACCACCGAAACAAAAATATTTGAGGTAAATTTAAACGTATACTTAGTTCGTTCTGGACACGTATTTCATGTTAGAAGTCATTGATATCAATGATGATGGTGATTTTAATGTTCGGGATGGTTAATGAGCGCATCGTAAAGTGCGCTTTTGCGAGAATTTAATTTGTAGTTTAAAACTTGTTTTCAATTTATTATAAATAATTCATAGTTTAGGGCATCTTCAGCGGTGGTCCAAATCCTGGTTTTGGTCTATTTTTTTAGAACAAACACAAAAACACTGCTGCACCGGTGTTCCAAATTTTGTTTTATATCTGCATAATTTTGAATCTGGTAGGTATATGATTTGATCTATTTTCGTCACAATTTGGAACAAGAAAAATACTGTTCCAAATCACTCTACACGCTCGTTCGAGCTAACTCAAAATTGAGTAAAAAGTCACAAAAAAGTTTCTACTCAGTTGAATAAGATCTAGTTTTGCCAATATTAATTTTCTCTTGAGTTAATGTTACTCAAATTCATAAATCACGATTACACATACTATGACGTTTCAAAGCATGATATGAAATTAACTTGTACTCAATTTTGAGTTAGCTCGAACGAGCGTGTGTTGGATTTTTTGACAGACGATGGGAAATAAACCAAAACAAATAGATTCTTCAGTCAGGTGCTTGTTCGTGGCAGTCTTTTGATTTCGCTTGTCGTTTTCTGTCGGTGATTAATTCGATTAATGATAAATTTGTTTGCTTTCTGTTCAGTTGAAGGTAAGCTGTAATCAAATTGAGCATCCTGGAAGTTGAACAACAAAGAAATTTTTCCTGTAGAATGTCACAGCCACATCCCAAGCGAGGTAGCAACTGGTTGGAGGAGTATGACGAACAGTTATGTCGATCGTGGCTATCTATTTCGAAGGATGCTGTCAAAGGAACAGACCAGCATAGGGGAGATTTTTGGAAGGTCGTGAAAGACCACGCACAGTCCCAAATTCCGTCTTTCGCCAGTAGCCCAGCTGATGGAATACGGCAGCGATTCGCGATGCTGAGCCACCATGTGGCTAAATTTGTAGGTTGCTTTGCGTTCGTAAACAGGCTGAAATGCAGTGGAACAACCAACGTCGACCGCTTTCAGGAGGCAAGGAAAATGTTTCTCAAAGAAATGAAACTGAAAACATTTAAAATTCAGCATTGCTACGAAATTTTGAAAAACGAGCCAAAGTTCAAGGAGTTTCAAGATTCCCGGATTTTAATGAAGCCAAAACGGAAAGCTAACGTCTCAGCAACCAGTGGTAAGTTTGAAATCTGGTAACTGTTATTAGTTTAGAAATCATGGACATTTTAATTGCAGAGAGCGAACCTATTGCGTCAACGAGCAATGATGATTCTGTATGCAATTTCTGATGACCGGAACGGAAATTACGATCCACATTAGGGCGTCTTCCAGGACGCGAGCCTTTCCGTTTTAGGTTATGATTTTCTGCTGCCAAATCACAAGAAATATATGATTATTATTTGGTATGATTCAATGAATGAATTTGCGGGTCACCTTCAGCCAAACGAAAAAGCAAATATTCTTCATTATCCTCCGATAGCGAGACACTGCTGGCAGTAAAGATTACTTGGTCAAACCAATCCATCTTTTGAAAACAAATATTTGAATCCGGATTCAAAAACTCTGCCCCACTCGAAAATGGTTGAATGTTTGACAGTTAAGAAAAAAAAAATACATCACCAATGCTGATCTATTTTGGCTGGTTCTATTTAGTTTTCACTGTTCCAAATCCAGTATAAAGTTGGTCCAAAAATAGACCACCGCTGAAGACTCCCTTGAGTATAAACATTTATATTTTTGAATAAAATGAACAAACAAACGTGATGCTGGAGTTTTTAAACCATCATCATTCCGATAGTTCTTATGTTCTCTGCGAGGTTTTGATCGCGAATAAAATCATATTTTCATGAATCTCCTGAAAAGCACGTTGAGTGGATCAGTAAACTCACAGCTTCGACTATGTATAAGAGATCAGCTTGATTGGTTGGAAGACAGACAACTAATAACTCCAATAATTTTGAAAATAAATACATTTCCAACGCTATCTCACCCAGGATTACTTCCACTCACTTGCTATAAAAAAATGTTTTTCGGTACATATTATGAAATCATGATATAGTATAATGCTTGTTAGTACTTGTAAGTTACAAGAAGAGGTCATGAAGTATATGTTTGACACATAAAATCTGTCAATATTGCTTTCAGTGCGCCACAATCAGCGATTTTACAACTCGTGAGCGCTCACGAATCATAAGATCGCTGATTGTGACGCTCTCAAACCGGCGAAATTGACAGGTTTTATGAGTCAAACACATACTTTACACCATCGTCTTGTTACTCACAAGTACAATATAGCATTATTGCATCTAATGATTGTATAATTCCGAATAATATTTTTTTTTATAGCAAGTGAGGGGAAGCAACCCTGCTCAAATTTCAAAAAGCATTTTGTGTTGATGTCTTGAAAATTATTACATATAATAAAATAGTGATATCTGATTTTAAAAATTACCTTTTTCACAATTCTTGTATGGAGACATCGCTTTTAACGATTAATTGAAACAATCATTAGAATGAATAAGGGCCTGTTCATAAACTACGTAGACAGTTTTTTTGGGATTGTTGACCCCCCCTCCCCCTGCGTAGACAATTGTCCATACAAAAAAATTAAAATTTGTATGGGCCATGGATAATTCTCAACCCCCCCCCCCCTCCCAAAACTGTCTACGTAGTTTATGAACAGCCCCTAATATGGTAAATAATCAAGGGGTAAGTGACTCTGCACACCAATCTTGGGTCATATTTTTTGTCAGTGTGCCGCAATTGTGCCGATTGTGGCGGTTATAGAGCAAGCTTTGTATTTCTGACACCTTAAACGTTTTGGTTTGAAATCGCAAGGATAAATCGGATTGATGATGATGCGGAAAGTGGCGGGTGTGCGAAATCTTGGTGTTCTGTGTTCATAGGATAATAAAAGTCCTGTGTTTTAGGGTTTTAAAATGTACTCATAGGCAGATCAGAAACCTAACTTTTTGTGCTGTGAAAATCAACGGTCTATCAGCGGCTGGAAAGAGTTGGAACCGGTGGGGAACATTGTTGGAGACAGACTATAGAGGATGTCAAAGTAATGGTCGGGGTGGTATTATATCCCCAACATTGGGGAAAAAAATAGAGGATGATGAATAGACTTTTGTAGTTTGAATTAAGGGTACTAATGGTATCTGATTAACTGCTTCTTTCTCTTGAGCCCACTCTAGAACCTACATTTTGTACTTAGACCTATAAATGAACTGCTGGTCTGAGTTCCTCTGGTACATTAAATTAGAGGATGTTCCTGAATATACTGTCTGTGGAATCCTCAGGGTACTTCCGGGTGAGTAATTGTTTGAATAATTAACACTTGATCTTAACAATATACGAAACGTTTCTAGATAGAGCTGGAATTAGGGCCTAACAGCTTTTGTAAACAATGACTTCTCTTGATGATTTATAGAAATTCAAGGCTCACCCACGCAAACCAACATCCTCATCGGGTAGGGAAAGACTTCCCCTACCCGATGAGGATGTTGGTTTGCGTGGGTGAGCCTTGAATTTCTATAAATCATCAAGAGAAGTCATTGTTTACAAAAGCTGTTAGGCCCTAATTCCAGCTCTATCTAGGTTTATTCTCCTTCTGTTCTTAGGCCCGCTACCTCTTGCTCTTACACTCTACTTAACCATAGTCACTCTCTCGTTGCAGGTAGTTTGGTTTATAGGACCATAGTCATGTTGCCCAGAGTAGAGGGCACCACATCTCGTTTTTTCTCTAAAACCCAAAATCATGCTCCTTAAATTTCGAAGGAAACTTCACTGGACGTCGAGCCCTAGAAAGTTCAAAGTGAGTCAGTACACTCTTATCGGTATGCAGAGTCGATGGGGACGGTTCCGGGTCATCCCGCTACTGGCGTTCAGACGATGTTGCAGTATCCTCACAGCTATCTGCAACCTCGTGACGATCGGTAATTCGCTTCAAGTGTGCTACATTCCGGCGGTAAACCTTGTCGGATTCCTTGCTTTAGATCGTTACACGAGAGCCCTTCTTGTCAACTACTACACGACTACACATTCATTAGGATTGAACGTAGTAGTAAGTTTGTTCCCTGGTAACAGATCCTTGACCAGGACGGTGTCCCCAATCTTCAACTCTGAACGTCTATCATGACGCTTTTCATCTTCCCTCTCCTTAACCCTCATTTTCAATGAGAAGTATCTCTCTGCTACTTCATCTCTTGATGGCATAACCTCAACGTCGGTAAGTGATGGAACTTGAGATCTGATTGTCCGGCCAAAACAAAGTTCATACATTAACAAATATTCTTGCAAATCAGTCTTCCAATCACGGCCAAGTGCGTGGCTAATTTGTAGACGCTTCAACAGGAATTCCATTCCGTTGGCAATAGTTTTCAAATGATGAGCTGATGAATTGTCTAGCATTATCTAAAGTGAGCGTGACTGGAAATCCAAGCCGAGTAAAGATTTTGTGTAGTCGTGAAATAGTTTCCTCTGCGGTAATCTGCCTCATTATCTCGATCTCCTTGTAGCGACTGTAATAGTCGATCACAACGAGAAGATAGTCTCTACACGGAAGTGGTCCCAGAAAATCTAAAGCTAAGTCAATCCACGGTTTAATCGGCAAGCTCTCTACGTTGCATCGGTTCTGGTTTACTCGGTAGTCCTACTAATCTACATCCTTCGCAAGCTGTCACGTATGCCTCAACTTCACGGTCCATCTTCGGCCACCGGACACGGTCCCTCATTCTACGCTGCATCACGGTCTCTCCCGGGTGACCTTCATGCGCTAAAACTAGCATTCTGTTTCTCAGAGACTTTGGTACGACTAATTTCGATCCACGTACCAGTAAGTCCCCAACGAACCCTAACTCGTTCTGAAAAACTGCAAAAGGCTTACCTTCGCTTTTGTCCCACTTCCCGCTTCGGACATGGCGATCCAGAGCTCATGATCGTCAATTAAAGCTTTCTCTAACTCGCTCGTATCTATTGCTGCTGATTCCATAATAGCCAAAACCAGGAATTGGCTGTCACAATCAAAATCTCGAGAGATGCTTTCGACTGCCAGTCGCGAAAACGGATCAGCGACATTTCCTGATTCTTTGCGGTATTTCAGGTAACCGCTTGTAAACCAATTGGTAGTACCACAGACAAACAGACATTGCATATTTTTCACTATAAAACATAGTCGCAAAAACACTACCGCCATCTGTTGAGTATACTGTTATGGGCAGTACGCTGAACAGTTTATAAACATCAATCGCAAGGTAATTGACTAGGTGCGTCACAGGTGGCGGTACTACCAACTTAAACACATTTAAATTGACCGTTAAATGCGTGTTCGATGAACAACCTGCGAGTTGTATGCCTATTTGTCTGTGGTAGCACGGTATTACCGCAGCCTGTGGTGCGCATATATGGTGGTTTTCATTTGATGGCGCAGATTTGTTTAGTATTGAAAAATATCGTAAAAATCAATAGTTTAATTGGTTAAACAATAACAGCGGTTGTTAAACATGCTCAAGAATGGCAAGTTATTGTTAATAAACAAGATGTAATCTGTTTCACTCCATTTCATAGGCATGGCCGTTTTGGCCCATAAGGATGGACACAGGGCACTCTTGCCCCGTATCATTTTCAACAAGCAGGTTTGATATGATGTTTTGATAAATCCATTAACAGCTCTTGACTTGGTTTTTGGTGTGATTTAATTCAAATTTTTTTGTTGATTCATTGAAGACAATATCATAAAATTGCAGTTTGGTGTGCAAACTCCGATAAAATCCACGATATGAAATACAAAGAACATTGAACGCCAAATCCTTAGGGTGATGCACTTGCCTCTAGATTCGCTAACTGTAACACGATGGTAATTCAGTTAAAAATCGTTGCACCAGACGCAAGTATGGCATTTGATTTTTTGAGTATTGCTTTCGATCAAGATCTTGACTAGAGATAGAGATAGAAGGTCACTGCTTTCGGCAATATTGTTCAAGTAGACAAAATCCATTCTATACTTTCGCTCGATTTTCCTATACTTACTAGTAGGTAGGTAAAAGGTTGTTATACGTATTTCTTATCTTGACTATAACTTGAGATCTTGAATGATTGGAAAGTTGCTGATGGTTTAGACTGAACTTTTAAAAGGCATGAAAACTGCATAGGGTAGAGCGCTACTTCGTCGTAATCGCCCATTTCCGTTCTATTGATCAGAAAAGATCAATAATATCAATGATTTCACCGTGCACAACTCAATAATAGGTTTGTTCCAATGCGTTAGTTCATTAGCTACAACATAAACTCTGTTAGGGCGCATTGTATGAATATTTACACTCATTGTTCTCAAAACAAAAGAAGCGTTCCTAGCGAATCTCCTTTTTCTACGTTTATCCGTAGGACGAAGAAAATCTAATGGCGTTTCAATGCGTTAGGACGGAATTGAAACTCGTAGAACGAATTTAGAATCAAGAAGCAGTGTTAGATTTTAGACAATATCTCAACAATTTGTGACTCTTTTTCAAATCCAACGGTACGTATGGAAAGGTGAATAAATTTGCAAGTCATCTTTGACAGAACTATTCCATTTTTTATTTAAACTCGTTCAGAAAAGAGAGGTAAAGCGCGGGTTGTGCTTAGTAGGACGGAAATTAGATCAAAAACCCTATGTTCCTTAGGTGAGCTTTTCCATTTGTCTTGCGAATATAACCACATCTTCATCAATCGAAAATAATTCCACCAAAACAATTTTGTGGCACATTTTCAGATTCACTTTGGATGACCAAGCATGAAATTTCTCAGCTTCAAGCTTACAGTGATTTAAATTAATCAAACTTTCATTGCTGAGAATTCAGATATTTTTGGTTTCCTACACGGCCAATGAGATCAATCTAAATTTGAGTGCAGTTTACTCATAATCGCCAAAAGGGCAGGAACTCAGCGTTGAGTAAATTTGCCTCATGTTTTCCAGTACCAGTAGTACCAGCAGTAGACTGAGTGAATTCAATTTTTACTTTTCTCATATTTGGGATTTTTTCCTGGACAAACCTGGAAAATCATGATACAAATTTACTCATCGCTGAGTTCCACCCTTTTAGTGATTTACGAATAAACTAAACTCAAATTTTGGTTCATCTCTTTGGTCGTGTACGGAGATACCATGTTTCTTCGTTTGAAATCGAGGAACTTGTCAATGTCCTCATCACAAAATCACTGTATTAGGTACACAAAAATTGTACATATAAGATTAGAATTTCGTAGCATTAAATTGACTGAACAAATCTACAGCGTGTTCACTATTATCATGTATTGTATTTGAATTTTAACATACGCCACGGGATGCCTACTTCAGCAAGCGACCAATGTACAAAACTTCCAATTTAAACAATCTTTAATGGTGATCATCCTTTTTCTGGAAACGTTGTCCGCAGTATCCGCAAGAATGAGCTCCAGGTTGGTCCTAAAAATGAGCAAATATAACTATTTTACTCAACAGATCCTAGTATATATATAAAAAAAAAAGTGTAAAGCCACCCACCAGATTGATGTACACCTTGGGATGTCCGAGAGCTGGTTCGGTACCACCGTCACAGTACACAACTCGCGACGAGCTCATGGTGATGGGCGTTTCATCGATCATCTTGATGGCCCAGTTCTGATTCACGACCTTGGCGGCATTCACAAAACGGGCATTCCGGTAGTCCTTATCGTCGTAGAACTGCGATCGGAATCGAGATCGTAAGATTATAGTTTGTTGTTTAGGACTGAGTCTACAATCACTACTTGCGTAATCGTTCCGTCGAGCTGTGTGAGCCCGTACGATCAGCGAGTTCGCTTACCTGGCCAGTGTGGGTGATTTCGTCCTTGATAGAAGCGCAGCGCGAGGCCAGAATCTGTGTGGTGATGCTGCGCGTTCCGATGGTACGGGCCACGGGGGAAATAATCATCCGGCAAGCCATTTTAGCACGGAAGGAATTCCTTTATTTTGGTGTCGAGTGAAAATTAACTCGGTAGTCGCGAATCCTGATGGATGGCTAGTCTGACAGCTAGAAATGTCAGCCGCGGTTCAGTGGATTAGGTTACCAATCCAGTAACTTGACAGCTGACGGTCTCCGATGGTGATTGTGTTGGTGTTTTCGGTGAACACCCACTTTACTCCGTATGGGAAACATTCATCGATTCATCTCCCCTTTGGCAGTGGTGTTGGAGCGGATGAAGGAAAAGTATTTATGAAAGCGAAAAAGTTCAATATTTTGGTGGCGACGATTCGGAGTGCCAGGAGGAAAAATCTAATTTTCAATCGGAAAAAGGTGTAATTTCTGTGTAAATACAAGTGTAAGATTATGCCGTTGTTAAACTGAAAGTGTACGCGTCGGTAGCGAATGGCTAGCGGTACGCGAAAAAGCGGAAGTGCAGTGTGAAAGTGGTGTGCACACCAAAACGCAGAAGAATAGATAGAGGAGGAGTGCTGCAGAAAGTGTTTCTTTTGGATTTTGTTGGTGCTGCTTGCCTAGCCCATACCCCCAGCTAAGCCACCGAAGAAACCGCAAAGACGACGACGACGACGACAGCAGAAGACTAGAAAACGCAGGCAGCTCGGCAGAAAGTCGGGAAAAGTAGGACAAAATCATTTTCACTAGCATTCGTATTAGTTTTTGTCCAGTTGCCCAACGTTAGAATGTAAGTGGAGATATTGTTTTTTATTTATCACATTATTAATACCTATTACTAACTGTTGGTTTGCACTTGTTACAATTGCATCAGGGGAGTTTGTAGAAAATATAGCGAATTTCTATTCCAGTCGATGTACTTCCGTTGCATTTCAATTGTGGCAGATTTCAACTTGGGATGCACAAAATATGAGTAGCATTTTTCGAAGTTTTTTTTTTGTTTTGAACAAACCTACCTTCCTATCTATTATAGCATGTCATTTATGATATGAACTGGTTCAATCTACCAGGGGGCCTCAGATTCAATCTAGGGGGCCAGATAGCCTGGACAGTAAAGTTACGGCGGCGAATTCGATTCCCGGTCCGGTCTTAGAACATCTTTAAGGTTGGGAATGCTCTTGACTTCAATAAATTGGTCAATTAATGCATTAGTTGACGTTTAATTTATATGTTTTAAAAGCTCTCAACTGTGGAAGACGTGTATCTAGAACACAAAGTTAGAGCCGGCAGAACGCTCGCTACAGAAGCCTAAAAATCCTAGAAGAAGAAAAAAAGGAACTGGTTCAATCTGCTATTAATGGCGTTACATTGAGATAAGTTATTCGTATTGTATTAGTGTTCTTTTTACGTTTCAGAACCATTGTAGTTGTTAGGATTGTCCAAATTAACGTTTAGAATTATTAAAAAATACTCTTTAATTTAATACTGCTTACAACTAACTTCAAACATTGATTCCGGTGTAACCAACTTCAAACGTAATATTTTTGGTGAAAATTTAGACCAAAGTTGACTTTTGAATTCCAGTCCAGAATCCAATTTCAGAAGACTGATAGATAAAATCATGCAATAATTAACGGGATCTAATCTTCTACAAAAAAAAAGTCAAAATAGCCAAATTGATCTAGATATTGATCAGAGTAGATCAAAATAATTACAATTAAATTTTCATAATGAAGTATGCAATATTCTTCTCAAGAATTTGTAGCCGGGGAGATTGCATAAAGCTCTCGTCGATATTTTGGTCTAAAACTAGTACTAATATTGATTGTGTAATTGGATGAAGAGCTGTAACGTTTCGTTACGTGCATCAAATCTTATTAAATTTTGGCTGCTGATTCACCGTACATTCAATGGTTATTGGTGTAGTTTTGAGCTTGATTGGCTGATGTTGTCTGAAGTTAGGCCGGTTGTTAGTAAAACGCTTCTTATTCTATCTCCCTTTTTCAAATTGGTATTTCTTGAAGAAAGATGAACCAAATGAGCTTCTATTACTTTTCATTTTTAGTTGAAACGTTACCCTACGAATTGCCTAAAAATATGCTGAAATCAATTCACGAGGAAAAAAGTTAAAAATTCCAAATAGAATATTCTCAATCCACCAAAAAGTAAGGCCTACGAATAGCTGCAGTTTAAAGTGCAAAATGAAGTATCCACATTTTCTAAATAGCTTCAAACCACATTATTATAATGATTTATGTACCATGAATCACGGTTGACCGGTGACTGTATCTTCAATAAATAAATCTTTTAAATAAATTTTAAAATTCAAAGCAAGGGATAAGTCACTCAACACATTGTGCCAAAATTAGATTCGGCACAGCTTGGGCACATCCATCAACACACCTTCGGCACAATCTCGTAGGCATTGGATTGTTGTAAATAAAATGGAAGCTCTGCTGGACAGCTGTCATTGAAGTTGTTCACAATATTACGTGCTGTTTGACTGCATATTTAGGAACAGCCTCAAATTGAATATACCAGAGAACCAGCAGTTCAATTATCGGTTCACTTATATATCTTATAGTTCTAGAGTGGGCTGAAGAGTAAGAGACAGTTAATCAGACCCCATTAGAGCCCTTTATTCAAATAATGGTGCAACTCACATAAAACAAACTACAGAACTCATATGCATCATCATCTATCGTCGGTCTACAACAATGTCCCCCACCGGTTCCAGCTCTTTCTGGCCGCTAATAGACCGTTGCTTTTCACACCACGAAAGGCTAGGATTCTGGTCCGCCTTTGAGGGCATTATAAAACCCTATAACACAGGACTTTTATTGTCCTATAAACAGAAAACACAAAAATTTCGCATACCCGACACTTCCCGCGTCATCTTCAATCCGATTTATCCTTGCGATTTCAAACCAAAACATTCAAGGTGTCAGAAATACCGGGTTGCTGGGATGGGTATTTTACAAACAATCGCAGCTTGCTCTATGACCGGCATAATCGGCACACCTGTGGCACACTTGCGGCACACTGACAAAACAGATGACGCAAGATTATTGGTGTGCGGAATGACCTACCCATTGATTCAAAGGCTTTATTTTTTTTAGGTTCACAGGTTTCACAGATTTTAAACTTGAACAATTTTGTTTTGAAATTCTAAATAAAACAGCAAAAGGGTTTATCTTCCATTTAATTCCACTTAATTAATTTTGGTATCCATGACAGATACGTATTACGACTACAGATGGAAGATAAACCCTTTTGCTGTTTTATTTAGCATTCCGCTAACAACCCAGTTTCATTACTTCATTGAAATTCTAGTCTTTAACATAATAATACTTGTAGACATTTTCAAGAATCTGAAACAAAGATAAATATTCATGATGTTGGGCATTAAACATTTACCAAGTCCACAGATTTCAATAATAAAATCATCCAAACAAGCAAAATGTGCAAGACTCATGGTATTTGGTATCTGAGGTATTCGAATTTCTAAGCAACTCATTTCAAGGGATGAACGTGAGAAAAACATGAAGTGAAATTTACTGTCAATGTAGTTCTGCGGAACTCCCAATTCCATGTAAAACCTAAGAAGAATACTAAGATAGTTCTTCTGAGTAGAGTTATTAAGAAATTATGAATAGAATACAAAGAAAACTTTAATGATAATTCATTGGAATTACTGAGGTCAATTCCTATGAATTTTGAGAAAATTTGGAAATGATGGCTGAGGATTATTTCATGGAAATTCAGAGGATAATTTCAAGAAGTTTATAGGAGAAAAACAATCCAGTGCTCGGATTATGCGAATTTTCGGTAAAGCTTTTCGAGTTAGTCATCATAGAGCCTCTGCTCTCCCATTGCAAGCAGTATCTAAGCGAAGATCAACGTGGCTTCACCTCCGGTTGATCTACTACCACGAATCTACTGTGTCTGACATCGTACATCACGCAAAGTATGATTGAAAGGTCACATGATATCATCTACACTGACTTGTCTGCAGCCTTCGATAAGATCAATCGCCAAATTGGATAGATTCGGCGTTAGCGAAAATCTCTTGAGATGGTTTCGCTCATATCTCGCCGATCGTCAGTGTGGTAATCTATGGTGACTGCCAGTCCGAAATTTGCGCAGTTTCGTCAGGAATACCTCAAGGAACTCATCTGGGACCGTTCATCTTCTTACTTTACTTCAATGACGTGAATTTAGTTATCGAAGGTCCACGGCTCAAAATCTACTCAAGGATCCGCTCGATCGATGATTGTCAATTCCTCCAACGTCAGTTTGAAGCATTTGACAGCTGGTGCCATTTGAACCGAATGACGGTGAATCCTGCCAAGTGTTCAGTCATCACCTTTACTCGAAATAAGTTGGACTACCGCGCGATCACACTGCTGAGCGCCGCCTACAAGGTACTCTCCCAAATTCTATGCCGCCGTCTGTCACCATTTGCAAGAGAGTTCGTGGGGCAATACCAGGCGGGATTCATGGGTGTCCGCGCTACCACGGACCAAATTTTCGTGATTCGGCAGGTTCTGCAGAAATGCCGCGAATACAACGTGCCCACATCATTTGTTCATCGATTTCAAATCCGCATACGACACAATCGATCGAGATCAGCTATGGCAGATTATGCACGATTACGGATTTCCGGATAAACTGACGCGATTGGTCAAGGCGACGATGGATTGGATGATGTGTGTGATGGTGCGTGCAAGGTGATGAACTTTCGTGTCTGCTATTCAACATCGCGTTAGAAGGTGTGATCAGAAGAGCTGGGATAGACACAAGTGGCACGATCTTCAGGAAGTCCATTCAGCTTCTTGGCTTCGCCAATGACATTGACATCATGGCACGGAATTGAGACGATAGCGGAAACGTACTGAAGGCTGAAGCTAGGCGGATTGGACTTGCCATCAACGCATCAAAGACAAAATACATGAAAGGAAAAAGGTTCTAGGGAAGACAATGTTAGCCTCCCACCCCGAGTTCAGATTGACGGTGACGAAATCGAGGTGGTCGATGAGTTCGTGTATTTGGGCTCACTGGTGACCGTTGAAAATGATACCAGAAGAGAAATTCAAAGACGCATTATAGCAGGGAATCGTGCCTACTTTGGACTCCGGAGGACGCTCCGGTCGAAAAAAAATTCGCCGCCGCACGAAGTTGACTGTCTACAAGACGCTGATTAGACCGGTGGTCCTCTACGGCCACGAGACCTGGACTATGCTCGTGGAGGATCAACGCGCCCTTGGTGTTTTCGAACGGAAGGTGTTGCGTACCATCTACGGTGGAGTGCAGATGGATGACGGAACGTGGAGGAGGCGAATGAACCATGAATTGCACCAGCTGCTGGGAGAACCATCCATCGTCCACATTGCAAAAATTGGGCGACTACGGTGGGCTGGGCACGTCGTAAGAATGCCGCACGACGACCCAGTGAAAATGGTTCTAGAAAGCGACCCAACAGCGATTGGTAAGGTAAGTTTACTCGAAAGAAAGAACCAGTTATTTTCCACTATGCTCTCCGGGACACCATTATTGAACGTGTGAGCCATGTAAAAGATCTAGGTGTCATCCTGGACTCTCAACTTACATACAACCAACACATCTCCTACGTCGTAGACAAGTTGTCAAGGACATTGGGCTTTATCATCAGAACAGCTAAGAATTTCCCCGTATTGCTCCATTCTAGAATATAGTTCTGTGGTTTAAGGTCCGAACTACAACAATGTTACCGAGAGAGTCGAGTCCGCTCAACGCCACTTTCTGCGATAC